AACAACAACAACTTTTAATTCTTTTCACTAGTGTTCTTGCTAAAAGCATTGTTTGCTATCTTAGCTACTGAGAGGAGATTTATCACACAGGCTAGAGAAATGGCTCAGTGGTAAAGAGCCCACACTGCTTTTGCAGAGGACCTGAGTTCAGTGTCCAGTGTTTACATTGGTGGCTCAGAAGCCCCTGTAACTTCAGCTCCAAGAGATTCAAAAGTTCCATGGAAACTCACACTCATAGGCACATACCTACACATACACACACACATGCGCACACACACATACACATAATTAAAAATTAAAAAATAAAAAAGATTTATTAGAATGTGGAAGTCTTTGTTAGATTTATCTATCATTTAATTTTGTGTTTCTGGTCTTTATACTTTCCTAAATTCTAAGTTTTTGCCATATGGATATGATTTTTTTATGTTTCTAATAATTCTACTTTTATTTATATTCTCCCACAGCTCAGCAGTAAAGCAATGCAGTGTTATTTTCACATTTTCTTAACTCAGGCCAGTGAGCGTGTTCTTACCTTGTGCTATGCTTGTCTGGCTTTCAGCGCAGCCTATGATTTGTAGACCCACGGTTTGCAGTAAGTCATCTTTTCACACTTGCATTTATTTGTAGGAAATTTTGTTTTCTGGGCATTTATTATTCTTACTTTGACTGTTATGTTTCTGATTTTATGTAAAGTCTATTCTTCTATACTATGCAAATATTTGAGTCTTTGTTTTAAGTTAATTCTTGATCAGTTGGAGTCAAACTTCAAGTATGTTTCTGAAGAGTGCTAAGGTTACAGGACTATGCCATCATACCTGGCTGTGCTGGAATTGTTATTAGCCTTCTGTTGAAACTACAGGTACATATGGAGACAGACACCTTAATCATGTTGACCCTTCTAATCTAAGAACACAATGTTTCTCTTCTCCATTTATTTAGATTTAATCTGCTAATTTGTTTCTGGAATATTCTGTCCTTTTTGGAATAACATTTATTTTTATTTCATTTATTTTGCTGTTGACTTCAAGGTTTAGTAAGATAATTATGAAGTAATTTTGCTGATCAATTAATATTTTCCTTTAAGTCTAAGGAATCTCTTAGGAATCTCTAGGGCTAGCTGCATTTGAGGACAGCACAAGGCTCCTCATCCCAGAAGCTGCTACATGAATCTGATATGAACTGTAGGAACTGCAAACACCTCTAAATCATGAAATGACATAATCTTAATTTTAAAAGAAATGACTCAGGAGGCTTACAGTAGGAAAATTATTTAAACCCAGAAATTCAAGTTCAGTGGGGACAACATAGTAAGACCGATGTCTCAGGAAAAAAAAAAGTAAAGTAAAAATAAAAGAAAAAAATATATTAGACATATAATGTAAGATAAACATACTCAAATCTGTACATCTAAAAAAGCTAAGCAAGGAGGAGGACCCTGGGTAAGATGATCAATCCTCACTCAGAAAGGCAAACAGGATGGACATCAGAAGAGGGAGAAAACACGAAACAGGACAGGAGTCAACCAACTTTGAGTGTCATGGTGAGTTTCAAGTCATTTCTGAGATCTAATACCTACATAAAGGTAGGTATTAGATTTAAGGGAGGAAATTTATTTTGACTCCCGGTTTTAGGTACCTGAGAGGATGGGGACTGGAGTTCCCTTTGCTGTATGGCCCAAGAGTGAGTCTGTTTACTCAGCTGGGCCGGGGACCAGGAGCAAGGGCAAGCTGGAAACAGGATTCCACTATAAACCTCAAGGTGGGTCCCACAGTGACCCGCTTCCGCCAGTGAGGCGTCATACTGGCAGGCCCAGCTTCAAAAGCCTGCGTGCTGCAAGTGTCCTCTGAGTGAGGAAAATCACAAAACCACAAAAGTTCTTAAAACATTAGGAGGTTCTTCTCTCTCACCGCTCTCTCCCTTTTTTTCCTTCCTATGTGTATGTGTGTGTGTGTTTGTGCCTGCGTGTGCATATGGAGACCAAAGGATAGTTTTGGGTATCATTCTCAGGTACGATTAACCTTGTTTTTGGAGAAAGAATATCTTGCTGGCTTGAAACTTGACAAATAGGCCATCTACATGTGCTAGGGTTATAAGCACATGCCTGTATACCTGGATTAAAAAAAAATTTTTAAATGAGGTTTCTGGGGCATCAATTTCAGGTCTCTATGCTTGATTGAGTTACCTCTCCAGTCTACCATTTCAGTACTATTGTTTAATTAAAACATTTTCATCTTATGTATATAAGTGTTTTGCCTGCATGTATGTCTGGGCAACACATGCATGCAAGGAGGCCAGAAAGGGGCATCAGACCTGGAAACTGGAATTACAGTCAGTTGTAGGTTGCCATATGCGGGTAGGGAATTGAACCTGGGTCTTCTGCAAGTGCCCCTAGTGGTCTTAACCACTGAACCATCTCTCCAGCCTCTTCCTTCTACTTTTTTTCTTATAATCATGCCACCTAAACTCTGAAAATCAGAGAACCAACGTTTTACGAAATGAGCAAGAGTGTACCTTCAAACCAATACATATCTAGCATAAAAATTAAGGCCATGAAAAAAAAAAAGATAGAAAAGGAAGGAAAGAAATAAAAGGGGTTAAAAAAATCATTTAAAAATCAATAATGAGTGGCTGGAGAGATGGCAGTTATTATTTATTTATTTATTTATTTTCAACATTAACCATTTTTTTCAACATTTCTAAAGGCGTTCCATAATCTTCCAGTGTTCCAGCTTCCAGTGTTTCTGCTGCGGTGTGCGACTCTCCTCACTGTTTCGCTGTGTGTGATGTTTCACTCAGCTGCTTTCACACTTCTGTCTTTGTCTCTGCTGCTCAGGACTTAGACAGTTCCTCACATTGAATTTTCTTTAGTTTCTTGACTCTGTAACTGTCTATCTTTTATAAATTTGGGTTTCTAAAATTTAACTAATTAATCAATCTTGAGAGAGGAGCTTTTTAGGTAGAACAGGATGGCCTCAAACTCACTGATATCTACCTGTTTCTGCTTCCTGAGTGCTGGGATTGAAAGCATGTGCCATCATGCCCAGCTTGAAATTTCTTTGTACTAAAATTTTTTCTGTCCTATTCTTTCCCAGGCAAAGCATTTTGAAACCACTAGTTCTTACATGGCTTCAAGAGTCCACTTATTTTCTTCAGCGTTTTCTTTTTAATCTCTTACTTGAGTTGAATGATTTATTTATTTGCATATAAAATTTGCTTTGTTAGTTTACATTTTATTTTGGCTGGCAACTAGCATAGCTTGACTTAACTGCTAAGCTGTAAACTCATTGATGGGTGGAAGTTCAGAATGCTTTATATCGGTAAGCCTTATCTGTTATCTGTTTTCCATTTGAGCTAATCATGTGTAATTCATGGGTCAGCCAGTTACCTATGCTGGGTTTAAATGACCAAAATTGGTGTATTTATTCCTAGCTCTTCTCTCTCCTTGCTCTCCTGTTGTCTAGTTTCCATAGCGCCCCACCCCCTTCATATCCTACCATACCATGTTGGCTATAATTTTGGCTGCCCTCAGGGAACACTTAAGAAATGGATGTAACAGTTTCCTGTACAACTTTGTCTGCCCTTGCACCTTAGAGATTTCTGGTATTTATATTGTTTTCTTATTCATTTCCATTTTACTGAAGCTAGTTTGATTGTGTTTCTGGTTTTTGTAAAACCGTAAGAGAAGCCATTCATCACAGAGTCCAGGACTGTTGCAGGCCTGGCAGAATGGTTCGGTAGCAAAGGTATAGCACTGAGAAACACAGTTATAATAGCAGTTAGCTTTATTATATCAGTGGGTTTTGAAGAACAGAAATTTGGCAGCTCTTTAGAATGAGATTTTTGTCTTGGATCCCTTATGAGGTTGCTGTCACATTTTTAAGCAAGTCACAGTACTAAAAACTTGACTAGGATGGTAAATTCTTTTTCTAAACACACTCTTGTCAAGATGGAGGTCTTTAGATTTTTTTTTTTTCTGCATTGACTGAGCTAGAGATACTTCTTGGAACATGGCGTCTCCCGGATAGTAGGAGACATAGACAGGAAGGCAGACTCCTGACTGACTTACTTTACAACAGCGCATCTGTCCTGGGCTTTTCTTGGTGGGGGGAGGCTCTTGGTTAGAGCCTCAGTCTCACTGCACACGATGGGTCTATTCGAGTTACTTATATCGTCTGCCTTTAATTTTGGTAGATAATACTTACCTAGAGACTTATCCATTTCATGTATGTTTTCCAGCTTTTTTTCTGAAGCATACATTTTCAAGTATTCTCATATGATGGCTTGGATTTCACTGGAGTCTGTGGCGAAGACACCCTTTCTTCTCTAATTTCACTTTTTTGTATGTTGGTCATGCTTTTGTCAGGCTGTCTAAGGATTTGTTAATCTTATAAACTTCACATAAATGAACCCCTTTTCTTATGGCACATTTAACAATTGGCTTTGAGTGGCTTTGGAATCTAAACTGCTAGATGGCTGCTTTACTTCCATTTTGGAACCACTTTGAAGCTGTTGAAGGGTCTGAGCTCTACCACCTAAGTCTCTAACTTGAGTTTTCTGTAATTTGTAAATAAGTTCATAAATATAAAAGAATCCCAAATGTCATATTTTAAGTTAGTAATAGCCCTAGAGTTCATTTTGTTTTTTCTGGAAGACCTCAGAGCAGAGCTAGCTACCCACAACAGTCTACTCTTCTTCACCCACAAATCTCCAGTTCCATCTCTCCTCATAACGTTCAACCTGCTCCACTTCTCTTTCTCTTCCATCTGTCCACCACATAATCACACATTGGGCTGGCCTCTGCTGCAGCCTGGCCAGGTGGCTGGCAGGCCCTTGGGCAACTTCCTGCATTTGGGCTGCTTGGTGTGGTGGCAAACAGGAAACAATGACCTGCCTGTGCCACACACTGGAGAGCAAGTCTGTGGATGGCATGGAGGTCTTCAAGTCTCTGTCTGCTTTCCTCCTCCTGTGCTGTGTTGCCTGGATTTGATTTGATTTGGTTTTCACAAGTTTTAGGCATAAGACAGCTTTGGCCACCAAACTAGGCATCAAGCTAGAATGAGCAAAGGACTCCCAACTGCTCTGCTCCTGACTGATAAAAGAACCATACCACCAACAAGGTGTCTCTTTGCCCATTTCTGAGGTGGGGGTGGGAGACTGTGGGTACTTTTGAAGCTGAATCAAATGCACTTTGCATCATAACATATCTGTGAGCTCATGCTCGCCAGGGATAAAACGTTATGGTTTGACTGTTATTGTCCAGGGGGCTCATGTGTTTAAAAGCTTGGTTCCAAACTGGTGGTACTGTTTTGGGAGGTTGGAGAAACTTGGAGACTGTGGCTCAGAAGAGGTGAGTCATGAGAGTAGGTGTTTGTTTAATTTCTTGGCTTTCTGATTTAAACAAGCCATGCTATAAGCTCTAACCATCTTGGACTGTTATGCCTCCCTGCCATGATGGGGGTAGGTTGGTGTGTATTTTTTACACTACTTTATTTTGGGGTTCCTTATGTTTCCAACTCCCTTCTCCACCCCAATCCCTTCTAATACCAGGAAGGAGAAAAAGAAGGTTAGTGGGGAGAGGGGGCATAGTTTTCTTTTGGATACTTCCTGCTGTTTAGAGTCATTGGGTTCCTCAGGGCAAGTTCAATATTTCTTTTAGGATATCTCCAACTTCTTGTTATCAAACTGCAACAATAGCACCCAGGAGCAGCAGGGGAGAGCAGCAGCAGGCTTCTTTTTCCTTGGCGTGTGCCTGACCCTCTCTGGACTCTGGCATTTATTCCCTCCCAGAGTCTTCAGAATTAAACTACTTAAATCTGGCAAAGATCACACCCTCCTTAGAGCCCACACGAGGCAAATAGTTTGCTGCTGTGGACAATCTGAAACAGCCCCACATCTCACACCTGGGATTAAAACAAAAACATGTTTACATAACATAACCGAGTTTAAAAAGAAACCAAAACGCCCACTAAATGTTTGTGTATGTGTATGTATATGCACACACATATAATATTGAACACAGATAGGTTAAATAACTCCAAGGTGTCACAGTTAGGAGTGAAACTATAACTAATGATCTAGATTCAGGCATTAGAATTTTATTGTTGGTGCTTTTAATATTTACCTCACATTGCTCCTCTTATACTGTAAGAAAAGGGTCATAAGGGGGAGTTAGTATGACGTGGAAAGGATAGGAGCTCCACAAGGACCAAACATATCTGGGCACAGGGGTCTTTTCTGAGACTGACACTCCACCAAGGACCATGTATGGCTATAACCTAGAACCTCTGCTCGGATGTAGCCCGTGGTAGCTCAGTAACCAATTGGTTTCCCATAGTAAGGGGAACAGGGACTATTTCTGACAGGATCTCAATAGCAGGCTTTTTGACCTCCCCACACCCCAAGGGAGGAGCAGTCCTGCTAGACCACAGAGGAGGACTTTGCAACCAGTCCCAAAGATACCTGATAAACCAGGGTCAGATGAAAGGGGAGGAGGTCCTCCCCAATCAGTGGACTTGGAAAGGGGCAGTGAGGAGATGAAGGAGGGAGGGAGGGTGGTATTGGAAAGGAATGAGGGAGGGGGATAGAGCTGGGATACAGAGTTAATAAAAATATAACTAATAAAAAAAAGAATAAAAACTTTCTTATTATTAAACTTTAATGTATTTGAAATATAAAAAAAAGGAAAGAAAAGGGTCTAGGTGTCTTGAAAATAGAAAACAACCTGAAGTCACTCTACACTGTGTCTGTCACCAGCCTGTTTCAGATTATGTCTGGACAGAAGATAAATTTAGAAGAAATGAAGAAGTGGCTTCAGCGAACATCAACCATGAAGGGGCCTGCTATGGACTGAATGTTTCCATCCTTCCAAGGTTTGTATGTTGAAATTCTGTCTCCTAACTTGTTGGCAACTGGAGTTAGATGCTCCAGGAGGTGTATTGTAGCCTAGTCTAGAGCACTTTGATTAGTGACATTAATACACTTATTCAAGAATACAGGGAAGCACACTTTCTCTTTCTTTCAGCCATGTAACTGTACAACATGGTAGTATCTATGAAAAGAGGAAGAGTGCCCTCACCAGACACAGCGTTTGTTGCTGTCATGTGTTTTTCGAGCCTCTTAATCTCCCGAACTGAGAGAAACACATATCTTTTATTTAAGGTCTGATTTGATGAATTAGCCCCAACCAAATACGGTGGTATTTGTTTATTCTCTGTCCTTTGGCTAAATATCCTAATGTGAATGCTGCTTGGGTTCACATCTGGTTTTCTTTTTTAAAAGCATCATGATGTTTCTTCCCAGTGGCTGTGACCTCATCTGTGGGATATTAGCATTTTGAACTTCTATAAGGTAAGCATCCCTCCCACAGCCAATCATATGGAATTCATAGGATTGACATTACCTGGATTCCAGTTTTGGCTTTGAATTTCTCATAAAAAAAAAAAATCTTCCCCCTTAATCCACTCTGACTGGCTTAGTGACTGGCACATGAGTAAATCTACTCCAATCAGAAGCTTACTCCTACGATGAAAATGCACACATGTTTTTTTCTTCATGGAAGTTGGTCATGGGAAGTTACCAGACAAGAAACTCCATGAAGGAAGACCTGCAATTCCTAGGAGGAGCTTAAAAGTGGAGTTATTCAGGTTTTATCCAGAGCCTGAAGACAGATTTATTCCCTAACCTTTTATTATATTTTGGATATAAAGTGTCCCTCAAAAGACTTGTTTTTTGTTTTGTTTTGTTTTGTTTTTTGCTTGTTGTTTGTTTGTTGAAGACCTGTTTTCAACTGGTATATCGAGTAATTGAGTAATGACTGCTGCTTCCTTATTAAAAGCATTCATCCGTATACTATAGAGACCAGGGAAATTTCTGTTTTGTGGCCTGACTCTTCAAAGAGGTGCTTCCGTGTTCCTGCACATTTCTCCTGACTTGGGTTTGCTGTTTCCTCAGTTGAAGAAATGATTCTGCCTCATTTTTCTTGTAGAATTATGGTAAAGCCAAAATGGCACATTCTGTATGCCCACAGTTGAACTTCTAGGTAGAGAAAGAGAGTGGCTCTCCCTGTAGGACTGACATCTTGCAGAGCACTCACAGCTCTAGTTCGTTTAGTGGGGTAGAACAAAGCACTCCAGAACTTCCTCAGTTGCTTCCTTGGCTATTGTCTAGGGTTGAAAGATGCCATTTGTGTATTGGTTAATAGGCACCTTACTCTCCTAGTGTCTATAGGAAAGGTTTTATCTTCAGTTTTCTCAGATTTTTCTACTTTATGTCAGGACTAGAGGACAAGAAAGGAGCAGATGACCAAGGGCACTGTCATGCTGCTGCCTTAGATGATGGCTAGATGGCCATGTTTTAGGGATGCCTAGAGGGTACATCTCAACCTGCATCAGACATTCATTCCTTGATGGAAAATTCTGTGTAGTTAGCACAGCATTAGACTAGAGACAGATATCCCCACTTTCCATCCAGGTACAACCCTTCTCTTCCACTTCTGGAAGCCTAGGTTTCCTTATCTGTCTGATAGGAATCTAGGGCCTGCCCTGGCCTCATCACACTGCAGGTATGAGAACAAAAGCAAGGAATGTAGTGAAAATGTTTCATATGGGCAGAAGACCCAGAAAAAAAAATGCTCTGTTTGCTAAAATTCAGAAGGTCCCCATATTTTTAGGCTTGGTTCTTAGTCACTGAAATACTTTCATAGGAAATTCTTGCTCGAAAAATTATCCTTTCCAGTGAGATATCCCACAGGGCATGGTGGCTTCAAGTTCTTGAAGATGTTAAGGACTCACTTACGCAGCTGCTTTCTGGGAAAGACTCAAGGATCACCACAATCATCATCGCTATCATCTTTGCTTTAGTTTCTTCATCAGTATACCATTCATCAAAGACCAGAGCTATATTAAGCAACACAGTTGATACATCATAGACATTCTCTTATTAAAACACTCCTGTTTTCATATGAGTTGTTATTGCCCTCTTGCATATGAAAGGATAGACATTTTAGAGAGACGGAGTTTCCTAAGGTCATGTAGCTAGTTGAGAGCTGTGCCAAAAGCCAAGCCCTTCTTTTCAGTGAAGCATATCGGCTTCCACCAAGGAGAGCTTTAGAATTAGACCTGGAAGTTCAGATCTCATTCCATTGCTTTGGCAATTCAACACAAAGGCTCCAGTCCAACCTTTTTCCTTTTGTGTCTCAGTAAGTAATATTTCATCCCGCTCCCCTCTGATCCCACCCTCATTGCCTGATTCTGGAACTGTCTGCGTGTTTCTGGTCTATAGTTCAGCTTCTCTCCCCAGGCATTTGAGAAAGGCATTCTCCACAAAAAGGGAAAACACATTTTATTAAAGCAAACATGCAGTCCTCAGCACTTTTACTTATCTTATTTATACACTGCAGTGCAGCTTTCTATGACCTGGTGATTATCATTTCCCAGAGCTATCATCATTTTAAAGCTACCTGTTCATCCTGCTTCAGCAGATGGTTCTATGCTCAGAGTATTGTAAGGCTTTAAAGAAAGCAAAGCAAACAAACAAAGGAATTACGAGCAGTTGGGTCAGCTAGAGGAAGGACTCATTTGGTCTGTTTCCTGACTCAGTTACCTTTCAGCTGGGGCTATCAGATGAGAGAGGACACCTAGAGGTAGGGAACCAACCTGAGGAAATTTTTTTTAGGTGTATTTTGTTTCCTTCTCTCCCGACCTATCAGCTGGTAGTATGAAACAGGCGATAAGCATCCATTTGGTTACAACATTCTCTCATCTGATTTCCCCAATCAAACCTCTGTCATTCTTCTCCTATTTGTCCGTTTTGTAGGTTTTTTGAGGGCTGACCCCATTCAGGGTGCCATTCTGGTGTGAGTCCTATTTGCCACAAATGCTTCTATGCCCCTGAGTTAAGCATTTACCACTTCCCAAGATCCCAGTCTTTCTTTCAGTGACACAAAAATAAGGAAAAGGTCAGATGGCTATCCCCTCTCAGGAACAAAGGGATAGAGACTTGTAAATGGCCTTCTGGGTACAAATGTTATACAATCCAGGCTTATTCAGAGGGCATGGAGTCCAAAAGGACCTCCTCCTAGACCGACAATTCGGTCGGTGGGATTCTCTGCCTTTGCGAGAACCAAGCTTTCTTCTTTTCTGTCTC